AATGCATTAAATGCGCTTGCCGCCAATTCTGGTATCTCCCGCCAACTGTCTCAGGTCGTTCCGTCGTGGGCAGACTGCTGGAGTGAGGAGGGAAGACCACGTGATCGAGGAAAATGGACCGTACGACATTGCTCATGCGGCGGACTCCGTGCAGTTGTCCCGAGCCGAAGATATTTGCTGGCGATCCCCATTAAATCTGTGTTTCTTAGGGATATTAATTAGGCGTGCACTAGGTCGGGGCCTAATATCCCAACACATTCTTTTTCGTGAATGTACATCTCTCTGATCTCGGGAAAAATTCATTTGAGAAATAATTCAGAAGTTTGTGTAGTTGTAGACAATGAAATTGAAAAATTCACTTTTGATTCTGTAAACGTTGTCGAAGGAGTGAAGGACACTTGGGGTTTTCCTTAACATGCAATATTAGGATTCGAATAGCTAGTTCTATATATTGTATTTGAGAACTCCACTTTTGATGCTATATATAAATATTGACGGGACAAATGGGATTTGATTTTCCTTAACATACAGTATTAGGATTCCAAGAACTGACCGGCGGAAATGATTTTAATGACACGTAAATTCTACTACGTAAGAAACATTTGAAAAATATATTTTGCAGTATTCTTTGCAAATATATTGAATCTAAGGACAGCATATTTCGCTGATCATTTTCAAGATTTAGCATAACATTCCAATTCCATGCGTCTACATTAATAACCCTCAAATTATGCAATGATCAATTTCACTTCGATCTACCTTTTGTAGGAATTGGATTCACCCGTACATACATGACAACTTTTATGAATATCAGTAAATTACTTGTTGCTCGTGGACTTCATGGTTAATAATGAATATGTCCCTATATTACCTATACAGTAAGAGATGGGAATTATGAGAACTTTTCTTAACAGCCGGACCAATGTTCTAAAAGGCACTATACGCTAGTCGGGCGTCAGTCCAACGTCTAGGCTGGCGGGGACTAGTGAACATATAAAAATTATATTTTTATCAATATTATATTTTTGTATAAATATAATGAGTAATATTGTGTTTGTGTGTGTAAAAAATACTCAGATACACATTATAGAAATTACTTCAAATATGACTAAAACAATGGCAAAAACTCAAAACAGGACTTACTATGTTTTTATTCCAAAATAGGATCATATGAGTCCTATTTGGAAACATACATATTTTTACCTTCCATTCTTACCCTTTCATTAAATATGAGTTAAAAATAATCAAAAGCCATAATTAAATGTTTAATTCATAATATATTCTAAAAAAATTCAAAAATCGTAGAAAAATAATTACAAAATATAAAAAATATTTATAAAATAAAAAATTCAAAAAAAAAATTAATAATTTTTTTTTTAAAAAAAAATTAATAAAAAATATTAAAACTCCATAAAAAATTAAAAAAAATGAATGTCTTTCCCACTGCCTGTACTACCTTCCTGCACCACCACCTCCGTCTAGTGAAAAAATGCCATTTTTCTTAAAAATTGCCATTTTTTTTTCTGAAAATGCCAAAAAAGTGGCATATTTCTCTTTGCGAATGTCAACATTTTCATTGTTTTCTGCCATATATATGACATTCGTAATGAACTTGGTATTTTTTCCCTGGTGACTGGAGGTGGTGGTGCAGAGGCGGCAGAGGCGGCGGTGAATTTTATTTTATTTTTTTGAGTTTTTTATTTTTTTAAATAATTTTTTTATTTTTTTTTGTTTTTTGAAAAAAATAAATTATTTAATTATTATTATCTAAATATTTTTATTAGTTTGTTAGTATTTTTTATGAATTTTTATTATTTTTTATTATTTTATTATGAATTAAAACATTTCAATAGCTAGAAGGGTATATTTGTCCAATACATACATAATTAGTCCTATGAAAACATAGTTTAGTTTTTGGTCCTATTTGTGCAAAGTGAGTCACTTTTAGACCTATTTTGATAATTAACCCTACACATTAACATGAATGAATGATAGAGTTGTCACATTTAATACTCCGTAAGATATTATATCTACTCATTTAACTTCATTATGTAATAAATCTTATTAAATAATACGAACTAACATTTAAGATTATGGGTACGTTTGGCACAACTAGGTGAAAAGATAATGTCATTAGATACATATAAAACGCAGTTTTCATGCAAAAATCATTTGACGACCTTCCCGATTTAATTTTTGCTCAAATTTGGTATGGATGAACTAGAATTGATGAGGAACATACACAAAAAATTTCAGCCAAAAATACCCCCAGAACCACCTGAAATTGAGGCAGCGGGACGGGCAGTTCCTCGGAACCTACCGGAGGTGAAGATTAGTAATATATATATATATATATATATATAGGTTTTGGTTCAAATAAGAACATGATCTTATGAGAAAAATGAGAATGAATCTGGACCGTTAGATTTGCTTTATATGAAATTCAATATGCATTAGATGAAGCTGTAATGTGTATTAGGTGAAATTGAAATGTGCAGCACAAATGGTACAACGTAGTGACATTATGTGAAGCTAAATTGTGCATTAGGTGAATTTGAAATGTGCACTAGATGAAACTAAAATGTGCAGAATAAAAGGTACGATGTGATATTATTTTTGTACCTTTTATTCTGCACATTTCAGTTTTACCTAATGCACATGTGAGTTTAAATTTTAATTCTTCACATTTCAATATCATCTAATGCACATTTCGGTTTCACCAAATGCACAATTCAGTTCCACAAAATTCAATCCAACGGTCCAGATTCGTTCTCATTTCTCTCCTAAGATCCGTTCTTACCGGAACCTCTCCCATATATAGGGAGGTTCAAATACAAAGTACTACTTATATGAAAAATGAGAAGTAATCTTAGCCGTTAAAATGAGAAAACAAGTGGATCACATCAATTTTTAAGGGAAAAATTCGGTGTTAAAAGTGTAATTATTAAAAACTTTTTTGAAAACTAACGTGACAAATGTGCATCACTACGGAGGAAAAGTGCATTGGACTAACAATAAAGTGCATTACTTTTCGGGAAAAACATAACAAGTATAAAGATCATTCCTGATGTTTTTTTAGAAGGTGAATGCGCACCATTACATATTGCATATGCACTTTTGCTATTATGTATTACACATTTTTATTGATCGTGAGTTTTGATCAATACCATCCATTTTTAAGTAATCAAGAGCTTAGATTAGTTTTCACTTTTCATGGGAAGACCTCTTTGTATTAGAACTCACCCATATATATATATATATATATATATATATATATATATATATATATATATATATATATATATATATATATATATATATATATATATATATATATATATATCGGGGAGGGTTCAAATACAAAGAGGTCTTCCCATGCAAAATGAAAACTAATCTTGTGCATTCATTTTCAGATCTAAAGGCTCAAAATGAGTCAGAAATGCACTAAATTTGATCAAAATGCGATGACAATTTTATAATTAAACCAAAGTTTTCCGCCACCATGAAAAAGTGCAACAGAAACATGAAATAGTGCAACGTGGTATGGAAAAAGTACAATCGTACGCAGTTTGCACGGGAGAATCTCTTTTTATTTGAACTCTCCTATATATATGTATATGTATAGAGCGAGGTTCAAGTACAAAGCATTGCTCATATGAAAAATGAGAAATAGTCTTTGTCGTTAAAATGAGAAAATGAGTGGATCAGATCAATTTTTAAGGGAAAAATTCAGTGCCAAAAGTGTAATTATTAAAAACTTTTTTGAAAACTAGAGTGACAAATAGGCATCACTACGGAAGAAAAGTGCATTAGACTAACAAAAAGGTACATCACTTTTCGGGGAAAGCATAACAAGTATAAAAATCGTTCGTGATATATATGTTTTTAGAAGGTGAATGTGCACAATTACATAGTACATATGCACTTTTGCTATTATGTACTACCTCTGTCCCGTTGGAAGATTTCCATAGCAAAACAACACGGTTATTTAAGCAATAATTAAATAAAGTACTTCGAGTATATTTTGAAAAATAATTTTAATAGGTATATATTATAATGTAGTTAGTATTGATAACTGTGATGTCATAAATGTATTATTTTTAATATTTAATGATTAATTTTTCATTAAGATTGTTAATTGTTTCCTAAAATCGAAATGCAAACTTTTATATGGGACGCCCAAAAAAGAAAAGTGGAAACCTTGTAATGGGACGGAGGGAGTATTACACATTTTGGTTAGTCATAAGTTTTGATCTATATCATCCATTTTTAAAGTCTAGTACTTCCAAAACATGACATTATAATTATATGTATTTTAGAATATACAAACATTTTAAGTCCTATTTAGGGTAACATTTTTTTTTTTATTTTAATGTGGGTAAATTGTGTTCGAAAAAATGTTAACATTATTGAACCGGAATATGGAATACTCCCTGACTGAATTATTGAGATGGCGACACATGCAGGACAATATTTCCCTCATCGGATCTTAAATGTTTATGACGTACAGACAACATTACTCTGTTTCGATAAGGTTCGCCAAATTTACTTTTGTCGATCATGTCAATTAACTTTGAGTAATTATATTTTTGAATACAAAACTATTTTTAATATGAAAGTTATATCAAAATGTTCTTTATTCAAAATATTTTCATAAAACTATAAAATTTATAAATTAGGAGTATATAAATATAATAATTAAAATCATCATTCAAAGTTTGCCATTATTGACCAAGAAAAATCAGTATGGTGAACCTTTTCGGGACGGAGGTAGTATTATATACGGAGTACATTATAATATTTCCATCAATACCCTCATTGTTTTACGCAATTGGATTAGCACTGTAATTACGTCATTAGAACAGAATAGATGTGATTTACAATTAGATTATGAATAGGTGCCTAGCTAGCCTAATTGTTCCACCTAACCACTTGCGTGCATTGGACTGAACCATCTGTGGTCTATAAATTGAAGCCATTTGAACATAAGGTAATTTATCCACTCTCCATCCAATTATTAATCTCCTCTCTCTTTTTTTGAAGTATTCCTAATCTCCTCTGTATTTGTCTTAAGTTAAATTAATTTCATCGTTTAATATTTAAAACACTTCAACGTTGTCATAACCATGCTGCCTGTGGACACTGCACGCTTTATTATTGGCATAATTGGTTAGTTTCTCTTCAACTTGATTAATGAGTTCCAAAATCCTCCTTTCACTTTGCTCATTTCTCTTTCAAGATATTAATGTGATCTCTTATGGTCATGACATTATACTATAGTAACGTTAGTCGTATTTAGCAAATAAGTCTTATTTCCATAATATATCTGAAATATTAATTCTATGTATGTTTTTTTTACCCCAAGGGATCGGGGGAGGGGGTTGGGGGAAACTGGGGTAAACATGGCTGAAACTTCATCTATGGAGTTTTCGGACTCGAGATCTCCCGTATGAGAAAGTTAGTCAGCGATCAACTAAGCTGGATTGCTTAGCTTCCTCTAATTGTATTTATGTATATGTGTATATGTTCCTAGCAAACTAAGTCCTATTGTCTGAAAGTCTTGCAGCCTTAATCTCCCTATTGCATGTCCAGATGATCTACGGCGCTAACTGTATTCTGTTAATTAATTAATTAATTAGTTGGTTAATTTACTTTGATTATTCTTTCTGCATTGCACCCGGATTGATTAAAAAGCAATAAAATGGAATGCAATTTTATTTTTTCCATCTTAATTAACTTATCTTCACATGCATTTAGGATTACATATTGTATCACAAATAACAATATACCTTGCAGGCTTGCATGATCTTAACGCTACTGATGCAAATGTGTTTATTTATCATTTCCAGGGAACGTTATATCTCTGGTCTTGTTCTTGTCACCTTTGTAAGCTCCATATTTTATAAGCTCAGCACTTTGTTTAAGGATCTAACATAATTGCTTTTAGGCGATAATTAAACCAGAACGTCTGTGAGTGAATTTTTTTATATATCAGTACGTAAATGATGACTGCTGAAAGTTGAAATTTAAACAACTTGTTGAAAATCATTTAATTAGTTGATAAGCTTAATTTTAGAAACATTTATCCAGTAGAATTGGCTTAGGAGATACTTATATAATTATTAACCTTGTGTTTGTAAGCAATTAGGTAACCTAATAAGTTGCCAAATTGCTTATTACATATGCCTATATATATATGGCTCTACATATTAGTATTTTGCATCAATCCAGTGAGCAATATTAATAATAAGAAGAGTTCTCTCCTCTAGTAACATGTGAGACACTTAACACATACTCCCTCCATCCCGAAATAATTGTCCTGCTTTCCTTTTCAATCCGTCCTGAAATAATTGTCTCCTTTCCTTATTTGGTAAACAAATCTATACAAAACAATGTCAAACAGTGCAAAACAGTGCCAAACAACATCGCTACAGTGTCAAACAGTATCGCTACAGTGCCAAACAGTGTCGCTACAATGTGAAGTCGAATTCACTTTCTTAATCTGTGTGAAGGTCAAACCAGGACGATTATTTCGGGACGGAGGTAGTACTATCGTATGTTGATTAGAGGGTGTTTGGATTTGCTTTTTTAAACTGTTTCTACACCTTTAGAGAGCATAAGCGGATATTGAAGTGTTTAAGTGGAAGTGGAGAAGTATTTCTAAATGCTCCAAATTTCTCATAGAAGTAGCTTTTGAGAAGCCGCATGACACCAAACTTCCGCTTTTAAAAAATAAACAAAAACAAAGTCAATTCCAAACACTCCTAATTAATGAGTAGCAATATAACAACATTGATACAACTCAGACACGTTGAGATAATTTGGTTATAAAAAACATGTATGATTACCCATAGTATTAATGTCATATAGTCTTATTTTGGAATGCCATGCATAGATATAGTTTTTGCTCTGTAGAGGGAATTGAATTTTCTTTTTTAAAAAGAGAGTGACAAAATAGGCTAGTTACTATCCTAAATTCGTAATTAGTTGAACTGGTCACTCAAAGTACCAAAGGAAAATTTGTTTAAATATGAGTAAAATCCTGTAGAGTGTGAATGGATGCACTATTTACTCATTCTGATGCACTATTACATGTTTGTAACTAACTTTTTCGTGATAATAAAAAACATCAGTTTTTCTCCAAAAAAAAACATTAGTTCATTAAATAAATTGTCACCACAATTTTTATCAAGTCTAATGCACTGTTGACTTTTTTTAATCATTAGCTCTCAATTTTAATGCACAAGACCGACTCTCATATTTTCATGAGAAGAACGTACATTTATTTGAGCTAAAACCTATATATGTGTGTCTATTCAATCATTATATACCCTTTTTTTACAGATTTAGATCGAAAACCATTAAAAAAAGTTAATGAAAAGTCAGTTGTGTAATTTTGGTTAGTTATTTATTAAAGATTAATTATTTACTAATTCAGAATATACAATTCAAAAGAAAATACTTCGTATTCCATAAATCATAATATATTTTTTATAATCTCTAAATAGTATGACGACAATGTATACTTGAATTATAAATTAAAATTATTGTACTACTTGAAATATAAATTGAATTAGAAGGGGAAAAATCAGATTTTGAAGTATAAGAAAAACATAAGCATAGTTGGAAGGGCCCCCTCGTGATATAGAGATTCAGCGCATTAGCCCCATGTGATTTTGAAAAATGTGTCAAAACTCCCTTGTGTTTTAATTAATCATGCATAAAAACCCCTTTTATGACTAAATTTAATGATTTTGAAATCACTTTTCATAATATTCCGATTTAATATGAAAGTAAATATGTCAAAATCTCTAAATCATAGAAGAATGTTAATCAATTTTTCTTTTATTTGACAATTGAACTTGTTTATAGAAGTGATTTTGCGCATAATTAATTAAAACACAAGGAGGTTTGACGCATTTTTTAAATCGGGAACTAATGTGCTGAATTTCAATATCACGAGGGTTTGGTGCATTAAACCCTAGTTGAAAGATATAAACACGACCGTCACTCTCTATCTGTCAGATTGTGATTATAGTTCAATTTACATCGTTCCAACGTATCATCCGATCGGTGTTGGGGCATCCAAGAGTGATGCATTTATTTGAATACGTGGAGTGCTGGCAATTGCCTATGTAATTGACACCTATCTTAATTTCAAAATAAAGCTGGGACACCTGGGACCGGTATCAGTAGCCTGCTCCATCAGTTCGTCCCCCGGCAAGGGGTGCCATCCATCTACGTGGATTGTTAAAATTAGGTTATTCACTTGCGTGTTGCAGCCTTGCAGGCAGCCTAACGCAGACCTTTTCTGCTCCGTATTTTTTGTTAGTTTTGCAGGAAAGGAGTATAATAATGCACCTAACTTTCTTGCGGTATGCTCCATAGAATTTAATATGGAGTACGTATTACCTTTGTCCTAAATTGTTTTTCAAATTTGACTTTTCTTGATCAAACAGTTTCATTTTATTCACTTAATTATGATGTCAATTTTTAATTATTTTAAAATTTGGAGTTTGCAACTTTGAAGATATTTTAATTTAGTTTCTGAATATGTAAATTTTATTTATTATAATTGAATTAATTATCGATAGAGAGAATTGACTTTTATTATTGGTTGACAAAAAAATGTTGACTTTGCAAAACAATTTGGGACGTAAGGAGTAGTATATTATTGGTTGTGATTTGAAAATGCGTCAAATTCCATGTGTTATAGTTATTCATTAGGATAACTCTTTCTATGAATAAATTTAATTAACAAATACTCCCTCCGTCCTCCTAATATTGCTACGGAAGGATGTGGTGTGGTTTTTAAGAAAAGTAGAATTATGTGGTTGGTAATGAATTGATAAAGTGGAAATAAAGTAAGAATGAATTATAGTCACACAAATGTTACCAAATATGATATGGGACAATAATAAAGAGACATCCAAAAATGAAAAAATGAGACAATTATAGGGGGACGGAGGGAGTACCAAAAAAAGATTAGCATCTTTGAGTAATTCGGGGATTAAAAAAAATTAACTTGCATAGTCAATCATAATATAAGAAAAGTGACTTTCAAATTGTTGATTTTATTCATAAAAGGGTTCTGCAAGTGAATAATTAGTACTCCCTCTATCCCGTGTTAGTAAACCAAATTAACTTTTCAAGTCAATAGTGTCTAACTTTGATCATTATATACTCTGTATTTATACACAGAAGTATTGATGATATGAAAATGCCCTTTATTAAAAATGTTATTACTATAAAGGTATACAAATAGACTTAACATATATATTAAATTTTCTAAATTTTACATAAATATATTAGCTAAAATAATTGGTCAAAGTTTATCATAAATTCGAAGATAGTAACTCATATGAGATGGAGGTCGTATAATTCTAGGGCATTTGACACATTGCATATATATTTCAAACCACATGGATTGATGTGTTGCAACTCTATATTAAAGGTTAGCCGCATTAACCCCCTTTTTATCCTAACTCATGACCATTGATCTAAAATAAATTTAAAAGTAGATCACTAGACTGATCATCTTAACGTATTTTATTTAATCACGGAGTTTTATTCAGATTAATTAATTTAAGTAAGCAAAATAAAATGTTTTTCCATAGTTTTCATTTTCAGATTAATTCCATTAATAAAATGTTTTTCCATAGTTTTCATTTTGAAGTTTGTATTTTTTTTTAAAAATGTTGTTTGTACCACCTTATACCCACTTTTATACCCACCATGTTTGTGCGACGCTCTTTTTTTGTCTGTCAATCCCATTCACTGACAAAATATGTTTGTGCAAAATTTTGTACAGACAAAATAAGACATATTTCGTCTGTGAACCTGATTCACAGACAAAAAATAAAATAAAAACATGATGAGTATAAGGTGAGTATAAAGGTGGGTACAACAAGATTGTATATTTTTTATGAGAAATCACTTGAATAAAATTCAACAATCCAGTCATCCTTATAGGACTCAAAAAAACAGAACCTAGCTTAAATGAGTACATCAAAACAGATAACTTTTTTTGTTTGTACTCTAATTTTTACAAATAATATGTAGTATATCAAAATTCGTACTCCCTCAGTCTCAAAATTAACTTTCAGGTTTGACTTCACAAGTTTTAGATAGGAAAAAAGTTAAAGTTGATCTTTCAAAATTACCGTTCCAAATAAATTAAAGGAGGTAAATGAGTATGACAGTACAACTAGCTTGGGGCAAATAGTACTTTCAAAGTAAAAGTTTACCAAAATGAGAAATAAAAATAAAGTTAAACTTTAATTTTGTGACATCCCAAATATGAAAGGTGGAAGTTAATTTCAGGATGGAGTATAACTTTTTATGATCTTTCATATGAAATCAATATTGCATATATAAAGTAAAAAAATACGAAGTTTAAATTGTTGAAGATTTTCAAACTCATTTTTTTTGTATAAGTAGATTCAAATGTTATAATTAAGATCTTGTGGTTAAACTATTCTTTTTACGTCTTTCAGTTGTTTTTTTAAGAATGAATTTAAAATATTTAACAATAAAATTAAAATCCTTTTTACATCAGAATGATTAACTTTTTAAATCACTCATTCTAAAAAAAACAAAAAATTGTTGTATAACCATAATTAATAAAAGTAAGGCTTTAATTAAAAATAAGTTTGCTCAGTGCATATATGGATGGTGTTAGATTGTAGGAAAAAATCCTATATAATTGACCGAATGAATAATTATAAATTAGTAGAAAAATGGATTCAGTGCTAAAAGAAAACACACTCCTCAACCAATCATTCTAGCTCACTGGATGAGAGGTTACCGTGTCCTAACGGAGGTCTCGGGTTCGAAACCCGCTAGGCACATTTAGGGAAGAGGAGGGAAGTCTTGCTCCCGATGAT